GAGATGTCCTCTTTTGTCCTCTTAACTTTGGCATTCGCTGGGCCAATGTTTACTTCACTTGTCTGACTCAACTTTTGCCCTGAAACACTGCACTACAATTTAAGAAAAGGAATTCTTCTTTTGGGGAAGGGAAAGAAAAATTATGTCTTCTTTACAAAGTGTTATTCAACTGTACACTGATGATTTTGCTTTACTTGCATTTTTAGTTTTAAATTTATGACTTGTGTATAAATCTGTTTTTCTTTGTAACAATAACAGTGTAACACTTTGTACTGCTGAAATCTTAAGCATTATGGAACTTCTTTGAGAATAATAAGTGGCATTTTTCAAAAAGTAATTTTTCAGAGGTTACTTTTATTTTACCCTCCCTGAAGTTACAATTTTTGCATTTACCTTTTAGTCATATTATTCCCAAAATGAAAAGGGTGTTAACAAAATGGGCATCTTGGGGATTGACACACGGAAAATATGCTGTTCGGAATTTTTTTTGGAAAATAAGCAAAGCTTTTTGTAGACTTGATCTTTTTATATTTGCAACTACTTTTGAGAGAGTAGAATTCTTTGTATACAAATTTAGAATTAGGAAAATATTTTGCATCTAAGAGGCATCTCCTGTTGATGGGAGATGACTTTCAAATTATCCTTGAATGACTATCCTTTAGCTTCCAGGTTGAAGGAATATTAATCTGCTCTAAACCATGAGATATACTATAGAGTAATAGATATAAACTAAAGCTTTGCTTAGAAACGTGATGTAGGAAACTGTTTTGTAGCCTTTGCGCTCTTAATTTACATCACTTTATAGTGAAGATTGCAGTTAGCACAGATACTCTGCGGAGAAGAGAGAGAAGAAACAACCAGTTAGTTGATGGTTCTGCCTGAACTGAGATAAAATTAAGGAACAGCTCCATGTGCTGGGAGAGCTGGCTGCGTTTCCATAGTGATTCCAGGGCATTGATTGAGGTCAAGCCTTGGACAGAAATGGAGGAGACATCTGGGAGGAAGATTTTTGTGTCAAGTCAACCAGCTAGTTATCTGTCATTCATCAATCTGTTCATCTTCCTCCTTGTATCTGTCATCTGTCAGTCATCTATTATCTACCTATCCTTTGTTCATAATCTGCTGGACCTCTGTCTACTAGATGCTGGAGTAGTTCTAGATTTAAAAGATAGTGAAGGTATTTTTATCCCTGATGCTTTGGGCCCCTGTATAAACCTGGTCCTGATGCTGTGCTATAGATGTTGGAAACTTTTGGGTAATCCCCAAGCCAAGCCATTGTGTGAGAATCTCCATGGCTTCTCTACTCAGACTTTCCCCTCCCACAGTTACCAGACAGTTAAATAAGCACCCTGTGTTTGCCCTGATTATCAGTACTGCTTGTTCTGTCCAGTCATATATTCACACATCTCTCTGTTTTAGGGATAAACATTTGTGTTTCTTGCTAGCTTGTGTGAGAAAATTCATCAGTGCTCAGACCACTTGTTTTATAAAATAGCAGAGCCAACTGCTGAGCTCTGTAGGACATTCTCCCTTTAGAGAAGCCTTCATAGTCTGGTTTTAGGGATGGAGCTGTATGTATGTGTTACCAAAATGAAATGCAAGCAGTTATCCATTATCCTGTGAGTATAACAGGGCCTTGATTTGTGCAGAGCTCTGTGCTGGGGCACCCAAAGCCTGGGGCCTCTGTTGGGGCTCCTGGAGCCTGGCAGCAGCAGTTGGGTAGGACTTACACTGTCCTTCAGAGAGGAAAGCGGTCAGAGCCCTTGACACAACTTGGGAGGATGTTCAGGGTGAGGACACAGAAGCACAGCCAGAAAGCCAGTGTGTCTTCTTTGGGCACTGACTGCACTAGTTTTGGCTTGAGTGGAAGATTCCACTTGTGATTTTTAAAGGGAAAATGTTTTGGAGTTGGACATTTTTTACTTAGTATTTATGTCTCTTGCCCAGGACTGCAGATCTATCTGTAACTCACTTTCTTACTTGTTAATTCAGTTGTAATGAGGAGTAGGACACTTGGGATATTTAGGACACTTGGGATAGAGCCCAGAAAACTTTTTTGTAAAGGGCAAAGCGATAGTTTTGGCACTGTAGCTGGCATAGGCTGAATCTCAGCTATGGCCCTGAGAGGGGACGGGCTGGAAGGCTGAACATGGCCTGTGTGACTTGGTGTGACTCTGATTTGGATGAAGTGCTTGGCACATGCAAGTAATTCTAGGTTCTGGGAGATGTCGATAACTTGAGATTCATTAAAGTCTTGTCTGGATATTTTGTATGCGCTGGTCACATAGTGGGCACAGTTTAGTAATCAAATAAGATGTCTACTAAAGGGCTCAGTTGTCAAATTTTCTTTTTATATAATACTTTCTTGTTTTGGGACTTATATCAGAGTGTGTGAGGTGGAAACCTAAAGGATATGTGCAGTAAGGCAGATGTTACCATCTTAAAAGTCCTGAGCTATGATAGAAGGGCCCTTAATATCTTTAGGTCAGTGTTTTAGCAACCCGAGATTGCCAAAGCAAGACTGAACCTGAAGTAAAGACAGAGTTCAGAGTTGATTTTCTTTAGAAATGAGTGGCCAAACTGCAACCCAAAACCTACTTATTTTGTCACAAAGTGCTAACCCTACAATCAAACCTGAATACTGAGGTTTTAGTTGAGAAAAAAACAATTTTTAACCTCTTTTGTCTTGAAAGAAAGCACACATGCCATAGATTTGCCACCACTGGCCTATACTGAAAATTAAGGGGACCCCCCCACAAATGTTTACAGTATTCATGAAACTTGAGCTGAAGTTTGATTGTAGAACAAACAAAAGGGGCTAGAGTTTTCCAGGCCTAGGACTTGTTTGTAGAATTGTGCAAAACAGCAATGAGGCTAACAGGTAAGGAAGGCCAAGGGCAGGTGGCTGGAAAAGGCCACCTGAATGTTTTCAGGTCACATCTTGCTCTGAGCCTTAAGTGTGGTGCTCCTTTATTGTGACTCTCTAAATGTAGTCTTGTTTGTTTCTCTTCCTGCCTAGTCTTTCATTTGCCTCTGGTGTTTCCTCCCCTGTAGGAGCAGGCTGTAGCTTGATTTTCGTAAATGCTGAGCTTGAGACAAATGGATTAAGCAGCATCACAATTAGCATGAAAACCAGCTTCTCAGTAGTTCTCTTCTTTTCGCCAACGTGCTAGGAGAACCCTCAGTTGCTTTTTCAGGGGCTTAGAGCAGCTGCCTCTTCAGGGCCTTCCCAGGGGACTATTTTGCTGTCCATGGGCAGAATTAGCCCCTTTTTTTCTGTGAGCATGAGCTAGGAACTTTGGTCAGTCAGACCTTCCCCCATACCCCAGGTCTCAATTCCTTTCGTAACTGATCCTACCTCAGGTGTGTTGAAATGAAGTCAGGAAATAGCTGTCTGACCACTGACCATGTCCTCCCCCTGTTGATGGGCCTGGACTCTCATCCAAGACTTGACAAAATTTTAGGCTTCAGGGATTTTATTTCTTCTGCAGGTTAAGTTTTTATGGTGTCTCTTCAAAGCCGGTTTTTATGGTGTTTCTTCTTTTTCTTGTGGTGGTACAGATACATTAGTCTGTAGAGAGAAGTGTAAAAGTAAATATCAAACATCACGTGGATCATTCTAATACAATAACTTATTCCCTTATTTTCCTCAAAAATTACAAATATATTCCAAAGCATGCAAATGTGTTTGTGGTGGTGGTGGTGGTGGTGGTAAGATTTTGGACATCCTTTTTAAAATGAGGTTTAATGGAGGCACTTCCTGAACTGATTGAGCAGCCTCCATGGTTAACAGCTAATGGCTGCTACAGTCGTAAAGTACACCACAAATAGGATGCTTAGTTAATGTTTAATATTTGTGCAGATTCCTTTATTCATAGTGGCTAAGTACTATACATACAGTATTAAAACCACTTATCCCTTAATAAGCGAATGCATAGTCTTTCTTTTGCTCTATGGTTTCCCATTTAAATACTAGTGGAGTATTTCGTTGGACTTGTGTCAAACCTGTACAGTAGGCTAGAGTTTAAGTCACTGAGCAAATGATACGTAGAGGGCCACGGGTCATAGTAAGCATGCATGGCTACAAAAAGCAAATGTACCAATTTGCTCATGCATCATAACTACTCCTCATTAGTTTGCTATACATTTATTGAAATTTGAAATTCTTGCCCTTTGACGAGTGATAGTTTAACCAGAACATTAGAAAAAGAAATTTAATAGATTCTAAAAAATTCAGGGTCAACATGAGTATTATTCTATGTGCATTGGAGCTTATAATTAGAAAAGGCTGCTGCATGTTAATAAAGGTTATTTTGTCCCACACCTTTAGTGGCTTAGCATTAGGAGAAAGGTAAACATAGTCTTGACTTCCCTTGTCTTCTGTGTGTGAATCGTTGGCTTTAAGGTTTGAATTCTTTGAACAGTAAGCACCTTTCTCATCTATTTTGGATTTCAGAGGATTCCTTGTTCTTTTGTTTTGTTTTATGCAATGCTTCCTTTGGTCTTAATCACTTATTTTTTCCAAAATACCATAGCAGTTTAAAATCCTTGTGACTGACATGCCTGATTAGGAAAAAGAAAATCTCATTAATGGAAGCAGATATGCCATTCAGTGATGGTGGTGGCCCAGACACTATCACAATTCATTGTTGATCACGTTAATGGGTACCTATGCAGACTGGGCAGGCTCCCTGTGCAGGCAGACGTGGATAAGAGTGCACCAGTCTAATTCTGGACCCTCAGAGTAAGGCCAAGCCAGGAGAGGCCGGGGACAAGCATGTGTGGAGCAAATGAGTTTTATGTAACATGAGTGCTGTCATTTTTTGTTTGAGGTCAAGGGAAGAAGTGAAGGTGAATGATGTACAGTGTTTTCTTTTTAAAATTGTAATTATAAGGCAAACAAAAGATAGTTACAACTGTCAGAATGTTTTCTTAGAGTCCATTAAATGAATAGTCTTATCCAATGAAACCATTCTGATTTTTCTTTCCTTTTTTTTCAGGTGACATCACACAAAAGGGATATGAAAAGAAGAGGTCAAAATTAATTGGAGCCTACCTTCCCCAGCCTCCGAGTATGTATACCTTGATGAGTAACAAATCGTCTAGTTTTAAGAGTTAATTGCAACATACAGGAGAAGCAAATTGAGAACAAATCTTCTTAGTCCCGAATCTGCATGAAGATCACAAATTTGATGCGCACATTTGACACATCCAGTTCTTAGTAGGATTATGTTTATATCTTGTGATTATAGAAAGCACATATAGTTTTCTTTAAACGTGCCTAATAAATTTAATAGCTATTTCATCTGTAGGTAGCTGTCAGTATTCTGATCGCTTTGACATGCTGTAATCATAAGAAAGTACATTTGTGATTTAATCAACATTCTTGGTTTAGTGAGTTAATTATTGCTATTGATTATGGTTTAAATTAATACAAGGTAGTTGTGGATATTATGGAATGACAAATATGGAAAATGATATAGTCTACTGTGTGGGATTATGACATTAAGGTTGGTTGTTTTTTGAGACATGGTTGTAAAGTGTATGTTACTGATTCCTGAAAACTGCTAAATCTCTTTCCTTTCATCATTTTCGCGGGTGCAGATCTGGAGACTCCCTTTGCACTTGAGCTAGGTTCTGTAAAGTGGAGGAAAAAGAAAATGGTGCTAGACTGGAGTTCCAGCGCCTCTGTTCTAATGTCAGCTCTCTTCAATTTGATGGTGACGTTTAAATGTTTTCTAGGCTCTAGGAGTGACTCAAAGCCAATGCAAGCAGGGTTTTTTTTTTTTTCCAAGTAAAAAAGATAGTAACATTTAACTCTTCAGTTTTTACTGCAACAAAATTTTATAAGGTTTATTAAGCACACCACGTCCACACCTGCTCACACTCCGGCTGTGATCTCTCCAGGAGCTCTTGACACCTGCAGGGGTGTCAGCCAAGTCCCAAAGCCTTGTGTTCTGTGATACTTAGCGTGTGCATGGAGTTTCTGCTGTGCTTAGTTTCATTTTGGAATCAGATTTTTTTCTTTGACTTTTAAGGAAGTACATGCAGAGGCGGGCTTGTTCGGGTGTCCTTATTTAGCTGAAGGGCTAGCTTGGTGTGGTCCAGCTGATGAAGCGGGAAGGATTGTTGTTTGACCAGGGAGCAGAAAAGGTAAATGCATTGGCAGAAACCCCTGGAAGAACAGCTTAGAAGCAAGCGTTGGAGACAGTTGCTTAGAGGGCACTGTTTGTTCAATTTCCTCCTTTCTCTCCCCTTCTAAGAGGACCCCGTGACATGGCTGTGAAAAAGACTGGTCGCTTGTTGAGTGTCTTTTGCAGGTGCCTTTTGAGTCCCGAGGGAAGGCCAGAGGGCCAAATGAGATTTTGACATGGTTGGAGTTTGGTGCCTTTGCTTTATCCAACAAAAGTGAAACGGAAGCAGTTGCTTGCTTCCCTGGAGTCTGGATCCATTTGACCCGTGCTGGCTGGGTGCTGAGGAGATCTGTGCCTGCCTGATGGTGTGGTCCCCTTTGGTCCCTTTGTGTGCGGTTCTGCATGGGGTCGGCAGCTCTGCTCAGCGCTGTAACAAATTTAAAAAAAACTAAAGTCTGAATTAATTAGTTTTTTTTCAACTTGTTACAGCAGCAAATGGAGCTGCCGCGGTTCGGTGTAGACTACAGCCCAGTGAAGGCACGACGAGGAGAACGTTCCGCTCCGCCCACATCGGGGTGTGCGACATCCGAGAAGCCGCGGCCCGGGAGCGGGCGGCCAGCGCTGCGGGGAACCGGCCTCTCTTTTACTTTCGTTTCGGTGAGCAGCGCTGCTTTGCCCCAGGACAGGAACCCATTGCTGGGAAGTGCCTGTGCACCTCTGCCATTCCGTGCACAAGTGTAGGGTGTGGCGCTGGGCGAGTCCTGGAGACTGCCCCAGGGAGAGCTCCTGCCACGCCGCTCCTTGGTCAGGGAGCTGGCGTGCTTGGAGGAGGAGTCAGGGCCCCTTGCTGTGCTTCCTGTTCGTGCCGAGTCTGTTCTGTGTCTGCAACCCTGTTTCCCATTTGGAGCCCCGTGCACCACACACTTGAGAAAGAAGGATGTATGGCAACTTTACAGCTCTTCAAATTGTTGGCCTTCTGATTGTCTTAGGCCAAAATCTTAGGCAAAGAATGAATGATTAAGTCTTGGACTCTGAGATGTGCTAGGGGCAGGGATTTTTTACATCAGTAACTATCATTTACCTATCTCCAAAGATCAAAATTAAAGGTTTTAAAAAGAAAAAAATTCAAATTAGTTAATCATAATCTGTTTTTAGAGGTAAAGATCCATGGAAAAGTCAAAATTACTTGGGACAGTAATTTTGCATATAACAATTTTATGAGGCAAAAGGTAACTTCAGTGTACCTTTTAATAAAATAAAATGAGCATTTGTGGTGGGATTTTTTTAAAGGTTCATAGTATTATACCTCAAATAAAATACGTTATGTACAAATAATAAAAAGGTGAATTTAAGTATTGCCAATGGCCACTGTGATTTCACAGGCAGACTTTCCAGCTGTCAGCTTTGGTTGGGATTTGTCCCCTGTGACCTTCCAGACAGTTTACCATGCCCTTGTGGGGAAAGGATGGAGGATTGATGAGGTGACAGAGTTGAGTATTAGCTGTGATATCCATTTCAGAATTTCTGATTGAAATGTGTTAAAAATAGAACTTGCTTGGAAGTGTGGATCTATGCACCCCGCCCCCAAGAACCCACCGTCCAGCCCTGCCATGTGAGTTCAGGTCAGGCGTCACATATCTGGACAGTGGCTTGGTTCCCAGCTACTTACACAGTTCTTACTGCTAATCTCTTTAGGAAAAGTTGCTGCAGCAATTGCTCATCACCTGGAACTTTGTTCCCTGGCAAGCAATGAAGAAGGCAGCTATTTCTAAAGCAGAGAGTTCTTCCTCAAACTGACCCCTTTGGAAAATAGTTCTGTCTGTATAGGATCTGTATGAAAAACACCTGGTTTCTTTTTCAGTCACCTTTATATGACTATGCACTTTCCTATAAGGAGTTTATAGTTTGATGACCTGTTTTTTACATTATTTTTATTACCAAAGAAAATAATTATGATTTCTCTAGATAGTACCTCAGAAATTTTTCTAAGATGATTTGGAGGGCATAGGATTATGAGTAACAGTGGCATTCTGCAAAAGCAGATTGTTGGAGCTGCCACATAGCAGTCCAGTCCTGGGAGAATGCTCAGGATGCAGCGCTGCCTCCTGGCTTTTTGGTGCTGCTCAGGGAGTAATGCTGGTAAGGATCTGAGGGTGACTCGGATGCCAGGAAAGATAGGTTGTGTTTGGTGAGCACCATGCTGAATACCCACCTGAATCCAGATGGGACCAATGTGCTGGAAACTATAAATAAATAGGACAACTTTGTAGTTAACAGAGGAAGTGGCCCCCAAAAATAGGTTGAAAATCTGTTTCCAAGAGCAAATACTATTTAGAGAAATTTACTTGTTCCATATTTACCCTCTTGCAGATTTTTTTTTGGGGGGGGCGGTGTGGTATCTTTTAAAAAGCCTTCCTTCATTAATCTTAAACACAGTTAAATTGTAAAAACAAAAAATAGAATCTACTACCTAGCGCTCTGTTCAGGGAGTCTTAGCAGCGTGCTTTGTGCTTGGGATGATGGTGGGAAGTAGTGAAGCTTCAGTGTTACTGTAAATGGTAGAACTTCCCTTCCCAAGTACGGCTTGCCTTTCTGTTACTTCCAGGGCATTTAACGAGTGTCTGTGGTAGATAGGTGTCACCTTGTACATGTCCGCGAAGCCTTCATCAGCATGGAGCCGTTTACATAGCTCTTGTGTTTCCCTCCAAGCTCGGCTTGCTTTTTGTTCCGCAGCTAGGTGGAGAGTGGGTGCACTGTGCTGTCCAGTGGCTGTACCTGCCGTCACCCTGGCCTGTTCTTGGCCCCTGCAGCTCTTCTGCAGCGTGCTTACCCAGATTCCGTGCTGCTTCCTGCATTAGGAGTTTCGTGCATGCTTAAGCCCTTTGTCTGTACCAAGATAACATTTAACGCTCAGCTCAAATGCCGCATACCAAGGTCAGCCCCAGGTCCCAGTCTTCATGATGTCCTGCTTCTTGGTATACTTCCCACAGTTATTAGACGGATAGGTGTTACTGGATGTTCTCCTCCTGATGCCACTATGGTGTCATGTAGACTGAAGACTTCTGGTGTTTCCCCCTCCCCTCAGCACACAGTGGACATTCGGCAGCTATTTGTTGAGCAGGTGAATGGTGTGTTCACTCATCTTGTCAGCCTGCAGGCCAGATACATAACTTGCTTAGAGGATGGGGCAGGCTGGCTTCTTCTGATCCCTGAGCTACCCACTTCCATCCCCATGTCCCCTGTACCCCCATCAGCTGGGCTCTGAGCAGCAAGGCTGGCTGGTGTTTCTGTGCACTTTGAGAGAAAGAGAGCAGGTAGAGAACTGGACATCTGAGATCAGTGCCGAAGTGTTCAGCACTTGGATTTGTGCCGGCCTTAAACCTGCATCAGGGATCTTTTCTTTCCTGTGATGGCAGTTCTATTTTTATTTCTGATTTGGACAAATTTAAAAGACAGTCGGTAACATATAAGTACTAATCATTGACAGAAGTAACAAAGAATTTGATTTTGGACCTCAGCACATTCCAGTTAGTTGAATTATTCCTCTTTTTTTTTTTTGGTTCAGCTTGGAAATTCCAGTATTTGGTGCTGTAACTGAAGATCAGCTGTTCTGACATGAATTCATTTACTTGGAGTGACTTGCTTTGACCATGTTATGTGGCTCATAAGGAGACAACTTTGTCTCCTGCTCTGTTCTCCTGCTGGTATCTGAGCTCTGTGAGGGAGAAAGTTGCCCGTAGTTGTCAGAGAGTAGCATTTGTGAATTTTGGTTGCATACAAAGTGAAAAATTATATTTGAGGCTGCAGCTGCAAGCCAAATGCCATTAGTTCTCTTTTCCCCTAGAAAATGGATCTGGCTGGCTTGTTCATCTGTGCCTAGTTTTGGTCTCTTGTGACTCTTCATGTTAACAGCTGTGGTCCCCAGTGGCAGGTACCCGGTTTGCTCCATGTTTAGTTCTGTCCTAAGCTTCCCATCTCCTGGCTGAGGTGCAGTTCTTCACTGGACGCAGGAGCCACACCTGCTGGCACATGTGACCGCTTCCTAACTGCAGTCGGGGAACACACAGGCCATTTGACACGAATCCTCCCTCATCTGGGGGGTCATGCTGTGCCCAGAGTGGATGAGGATGAGATACACGGTTAAATCCTAGAAGGGAAAAAGTGAGTGTGAAGTTCCTATCGTCTGCCATGAATTGGCGCAAGTTCTTTGCAGCTTGAATGGCTGGAGGAAACCAGCTTCTGTGAGCAGAGGGTGGGTCTCCTGGTTCTGCGTAAGCAGTGTTCATGATTAATCATGTAGTTCGCTGCTCCTGACTATTAGTTTCAACAGACCAATTTCCTGTTACTTTCAGTGGCATTTAATGAATCTGTGTCCATGTTACAGAACTAGTAGATAAGTGGAAAACTAGCTAACTCCATTTTCATGTTACCTTTTCTAGAGCTGGAGCCGAGGTGAGTATATCCACCTAACAGTGGCTTGTGTGTGTGTGTGTGTGTGTGTGTGTGTGTGTAAAACTGTGAGGCATAAGAAGAATATAGAAACTTGAAGCCCCAATCCTGATGAAATACTTGTCACTCTGTCTGAAAACAAGGACCAGAGATTAGGATGGTAAAAGGCACTGCAAATGTCAAACTGTTCACAAGTTTTAGATCTTTTACATTTTTCTCTTTTGATGAATTCCTAATCAAATTAAAATAGTATATTGGAAAAACTGTTGTTAAGCAAATTTTAGTGTTTTACGACAAAGGCCTATGTTCACGAGAGAAGAGATAAAAGTAACAGCAGTATACGAAACAGGTTCTGGTGGTGGGGTAGATGTTACAGATGTTTGGTGCTTAGGATTAAATTTCAGTCTTCTGTTTTATGGTGTTCTCGAGTCAGTACAAAGTAAATATAGTAAATTTCTTATCTCTATGCAAGAAGAGCTGTTTACTTTCTGGCAAAGTCCTTGATTGCATGTATTGTAAGGATCAGTGCTGCTGCATGAACCAGAATGTATAATTGGGTGTTAGAAGAGAACGGAACATGATTCAGAAACTGCTTCTGGAAAGATTCAAAATATGGAAAAATCCTCAGCAATTTCACCAGGTATCTCAGGCAGGCTTCCCAGTCGTGACAGCCTGTGGCACCCTTCCACAGAGTCCTGGGGACAACCCTGGGAGCTGCTTGTCATTCAGAGTCTGTGTCCACGTCTGCACCTGTAATACCTGCAGTCAGAGGCAATCAATGAGAATAGGAACAGAATTAGGATGAGAGTCTTATCTTAAATCCCATCTATTTAAAAAAATTTCTCCCACATACTCCTCATGATTCCTACTGATAAAGCACGACTGTCAGTATGTTTCTCTTATTACTTGAGTTTAGAAATCCTTCGGTTTATTTAGTACCCTGAATGACCAAATGTTGTGTACTAGTAGGTCTTCTGCCCTGTCATGCAGTGCATTAGAGAGACAGACGGTTGCCCACCTGTGCTTTATTCCTAGGGTTAACCCAAGGATCATTCTGTTGTCTAGTGTCTCTTTTACTGCAGTATAATGAAATACTCTACTGCATTTATCTGAAATTGATGGATTGCTTAGGTGTCAGAACTATGTTTTCTTGGGGGATTCCTCTCAATTATGTGCTAGAAGTAATTGATGTTAGATCTAATAAAATGGATTCTTCCTTTGAATTTTCTTCCTTTGGACTTAAGCAAGTTTTCACATATCGCATGTACAGAAGAGCGTTCAAAGAAGTGAGAATAGGCAAGGCAAAAACTTGAGTATAGTGAAAAATTTCCCTTTAACTTGGAAGACACAGCCGGAAAGGAAGGTGAGCTAAATTTGGAAATGACTTATGTTTAGGTAGAGGAGTTTGTAGCCTCCTTTTCTGGTCACCAGGGTGCAGAGAAATGAAGTGAACGAAGCCTTCCTTAGGCTGAAGTGGGGAGGTCAGCTCTAGGCACAACGAGATGGTGGCAGAAGCCACAGCATCTCAGCTGCCCATAGCACAGGATCATGACCTGCAGGCCAAGACTGGGGCCACTATTATGTATTAAACCTCAGGATGGGTTGTAGGTTAGTGGAAGAGTTGAGTGATAGGTTATTGGGACATTCCAGGACATGGAGCATATCAAGACTGCGTGCGGAAGTTTGGAAGCTCCAGGGAGCCGGGTGCGCAGGAGGGACTGAGTGCTGGAAGTTTCATCTTTTCCTATGCTGACCTTCTTTGTTCTTTTTCTGTGGCACGCATTGGTCTTCTGCCTGGTTTGGAGCTGGATGTTTAGTCCCACTGTAATTGTAAAGGGAAAATGGAAATCTCACTAATTTTATTGGTGTTTGAATTGAGCTAATTCATCTCCTAAGAGCCTTAGAAAAATCACTCTGGTTCAGAAGCATTTGGTGAACCCATAAGAGGGGCAGGGTGCTGTGCTGGGTTCAGGGAACAAGACAGTCACCTCTGTATTTTGGCTCTTAACTTCCCTGGGTCTCTTGTTAAGGGCCTGATCGAACCAGTGTTTATGTCAGATGACCCTGTCAGCTTTGAGTTGTTCCATTCCTGTGTGCCGGAGTGAAATTGTAGCGCTTTTGTATATTGCTTTACAAGAATACAGTTGAGTCAATGCAAACTTTTGTAACCAGAATCACAAATATACCTCACATGACTTCAAGGCATTGGCTAGATTTGTTCATATAGCAGATAACTGATTCACGTCTATACTGGGCACTGCAGTAGAGAACAGTGCCTAGCAAGGCCCATCCTAGCGCTTTCATTCTGTTTGGGGAGAGGAAAGTAAATGAATTAATGCTTACATAGTGGTCAGACCAGTGCTACACAGCGTTACCTGTTATTATTTCTGTCTGTAAATGGGAACTGAGCCTTGGAAAGGTGAAGGAACTAGCCCAAGCTCAAAGTGACTAGAGCCAGAGACCCAGGGCCTCTGACTTTTGGCACACAATCTCTCCATGATGCTGTTCTCTTTCTACTTGGAATCTTCCTGCCTCAGCCTCATAAAGTGCTGGGTTTATAGGTGTGTGCCGCCATTCCCAGTAGCTTCTTAATTCTTCTAGGATCTAACGTTGTGTTGGTGTGTAGCGTGTAGCTGGCATGTAAATGCCTAGCGCTTGTGGGAAAAGGTATTCAGTCTTGACCCTTGCCACATTTTTGCCTAAGCAGAAGTAACTGTGTTGTCCTCCTGTTGGGAGCATCACATGGGGAGCAGTCGCCCGTTTCAGGTTGCCTGTGTGCCCCATGATCACACTGACCTCTTTTAACCTTGAGCACATTTTCTTTTGAGCCAGGTTGTTCCCTGGCTCTCCTAAAAACACGGTTTCAATCCCAGTCCCCAGACTAAACCTAACTTTGAATATAAGCCCCCCACAAATGTGTTTTCTTCATTGTTCATAGTTGCCGAGAAGGTTTGCATTCAGCAACAGCATTTGATGTAGAATTCCCCTTGTGAGTGACCAGGAGGACAACCCAGGTCTTGCTGCGGAGACCAGCAGAATTCTAATGGAGAGCCGTGTATTCAACCAGTGGTCTTTTCTTGTCTGAACATACCTTAAACCACTTCAAATCTCAGTTGGAATAATGTCAGGTAGAATTAATGAAGTGTGTACACTGTAGTTTATAATTTCTTTCTTTCTTTTTTGGTACCGGGGATTGAACTCTGGTCCTTGCACTTGCAAGGCAGGCCACTGAACTGCTGAGCTAAATCCCCGGCCCTTATAATTTCTTTTAATAACTTACTGTTGTCAGCCTACTGAAGCTATTCTTTTGTCCATTTGTATTTATTTTCTTTTAAACCGTGTTGTGAACTATGCATTTCAGCCTATGAGGGGCAACATTCATAATGTTTGTATACAAAATTAGCTCTTGCCAGTCATGGTGGTGCACACCTGTAATCCCAGCACTCGGGAGGCTGAGGCAGGAGGATCACTGTGAGTTCGAGACCAGCCTGGGCTGCATAGTGAGTCCCAGGTCAGTCTCAACTACATAGTGAGACCCTGTCTCAAAAACAAAAAAAAAAACACAAAAAAATAAAACAAAACAAAAAATGAAAAAAAAATTAGCTCTTGAGGACAGCACTCTGGACAGCATGGAGCTGAAAGTAGAAGCAGCGGTTCCCTCTGCCCACCCTTCCTGGACAAATTTATTTTGAAGGGACTTGAAACCAGTAAGGCTCTGGGTTTGGGGTACTGGGCAATCAGTGAGCGCTCCCGCACACTGGTGAGTGAACACAGCTGCCACCCCTGAGGCACTGGCCTACAGCAAGCTGTAGCTCTCTTTGGGCAAACAAAACAGCCCACATAAAAGACCCACTGGAAGGAGATGTGATTGTGCTTCTGCATAAAGAAAACACTGGCTTGCAGCTCCTTCCGTGTGAAAGGTTAGTAAAAGTGGACACAGAAGAAAAAGAGTGAAACTTTACATAAAGATTATGCCCTCAATGCAACGTTTAATTTTTCAATGAAAATGGAAATGTAAGACAATGAATAAAAGTAATCTTCACCTAGAATTCCATTTCTAAGCAAATGTAAATACTCTAAATATTCCTTTATCTTTTCTGAATAAGCTACTTTCTATGACAAAAAAGTAAGAAGACAGAGTCCCCCACAATAAAGAGCAAAACTGAATCCAGGATGAAGGGAATCTTGCATGATAGTGAGACACTAGGTCTAGGGACCAAGATAGGGCCCAAGGGACCTCCAAGAGGAGTTTAGTGAAAACAAAAATAGAACAATATTATTATCACTGAATTGTCAGTTTTTGACATGGAAAAGAGATAGGAGAAAGGGATTTTTCCCCCCCTTTTGGAGTATTTTGAAAGAAACCAGTATTTTGAAAGCCAAAACAAATAAAAAGGTGTAAATATTAACTCGAGTATCATCAAAAAGCATAAGATAGGAAGGTGTTATAGCTTGTTGCTGACTCTGATTTTCAGCCTGGGCATCATCTTAATAACAGCATTAGTGGTGAATACGGGTGGTGTAAAGAAATCCATGTGTTGTCTGAAATGGACTATAAACGCGTATTCATGAATATAAACATAAATGTCAGGCCTATCATCTTTTATATAGAGCTTAAACTTCATAAAGTCTGCATCTGTTGGATAAAAATAAAGGAAATTTTTGAAAAGATCATTTTGAAAAGATCATTTGTAGACAGTAATTAGAAGAGGTCTAGTCACTGCAGAATGGAGCATTTTAATATGTTTGCTAAATGAATAGCCTATTTACGGAGCCTAACAAAGGAGTTTCTGGATAGGATCTGTTGTCTTCACAGTTCTAAGCTGCTTAATTTAATGAGAGATTCACACACATGCTACCAATAATCATTCAGAAACAACAAAAATAAGAGGAATAGGAAACCCACAGAAAACACAATTAACTCTCCCAGAAGCCTGTAATGGAAAACTAGGGATTAAGTTTATTTGTTAATTTAATGTTTTTATGTCTGATTTTTTTCTCAAGTGCTACTGGTCCTTTTCTGACGAAGTAGCAACTGATAAATAATGCTCAGCGGAAACAATTTATTTCTAAGCTATGAAGATAGAATCTTTCTCGTGGTACTTGGGGTTATCTAGATTGTATCTTGTTCTACTTTATCTTAGCCTAGTAGGTGTTGTGATTGGCAGATTTGGGTCAGCTTTCTAGCCAGTGTCCTTTCAATCATTTTTCCTGTCTAAGAGCTGACTTTTGGCAAATCATTAAAACTGTATTCAAATATACTTCTTAAAATGCATAGCATCGTGTAGATTTCCAGTGAGTTAGTGATTTGGAACGAGCAGAGCTTCAATTTGTTATATATAGGTTGTTTCCTCGTTACCTGAATTATATTGCTATAATAAGTTAACTTTTCTGTTAAGCATAGTTTTTAAATTTCTGAGGAATTCATAGCCTGTGTATTTACAGAAATGAGACATTGGTTCTGTGTCTCAGGCTTCACTGTTCTTCCCATGGTGTAGCGGGCGCTGTGACGTGGAAGTGTATACTGGTGTTTCTAAAGGCTGAGGTGGCTAGGCCAGAGTGGCCCTCCCACCTGGGGAGAATTCCTCGGGCCCAGACTAAGCTGTTGCTCCCCTTCTGCTTATCCCGTGAGGACCCCCTGCCCCCTCAATCCCGCCGATGGCTTTTGGTTTGCTGTGGGAATGGCATGAATCACGGTTTATTCCACCAGGTGATTTGCTCCTCAGAATCCATTAACACCAAGCAGTGATCCAGCCTCACCTTCATTTTGCTTTTTCTTAAATCCAGGGGTGGACCAAGCTTTGCCACAAGAGCGCCGAGCTCCTGTCACTCCTTCCTCTGCTTCTCGATACCACCGCAGACGGTCCTCAGGGTCACGAGATGAGCGCTACCGGTCAGGTAAGGCTCCAGGTTGGGGCTGAGACTTGGGTCTGCTCACTGGCTGAGTGGTGCCTGTCCTCAGCAGCCATGGGGCAGAAATACAGGAATCTACTTTTTTATGTGTCACTATTTTTTAATTCATATTTTTTACAATTTTTGTTGCTAGTATAATCTTTTCAGGTGCAGTGATTTCTGTTTTAACTACTGTTTTTAGCAGAATCCATAAATTTTCATGTCTCACCTGTACTGTTTCCTTTGTGTTTTATGATACCTTCCACAAGAATGTTGTGAAATTCAGTTGTTGGAAACTTAGTTTGACTACAGTTGTAAACTGGACTTTGCTGAATTAAATTTTTTATTAGTTTAGTTAAAGAAAACTTACGCTATGATTAGTGTATTAATTAGTTGTTAAGAATTTTTTAGCACGTAAATTTAAATTGCGTTTTCCTGTTTCCATAACTAAAATTTTTACATGGAGATCACCTGTAAGTCCTAGTGTTGTTACTGCAACACAGGTTCAGGGACCTATAGATCACTGCTGGAACTGACCTGAATTATATTTGTGTGTTACTTTGTTTGGGTTTTATAATAAGCATGTGGAATCATTATTTCATGTGGCTGAGAAAAAGGAAGTGACTCACCCAATCCACGCCATTCTGTGGTAAACCTCCCGCCACACCTTCAGTAGTTCTCTCCCTGACTTTCTGGCTCTCATCCCCACCCTAGAAGGGAAGAAGGCTGACGCAGATTATATGGCATCAGGAGACACCATTTGTATGAACAGGAAGAATGCATTTGAGACCCTTATTGAGACTCCGCTTTGAGAAATTGATCTCTGCTCGCCAGAGTTCTTCCTGACTTCTGATGGGCATTCTCAAGAGGCTGTTGATGCCTAGGAAAATGAGTGAGGTTGGAATGAAGGAAGGAGGAGGGATATTCCCAAATCTAACCTGTTGTTTCAGAGACACCCAGTATATATTAAGAACCCATCTTATTGACTGAGATGTTAGAGGCCCCATTCAAATACCTAGGAAGACAGAGGCGTGCATGGATGTCCTTCTTGTGAGATTCTCCCCTCAACTGCCATGTCTTTATTTAAAGATGTGCGCTCATAACTGATCTCCACATACACCCATTGCCGTACGTGTGGGCACATGTCTAGAACCTGGTAAGTGTTCAAAGTGTTCTTATGTCATTTAATGGATGAGAAAATTGAAGTTCTGGGAGGTAATATCATGGCTGATGGTGACATTGTGAGTAGCTCATCAAAATAGGATGCAAATCCAGTTTTCTCTGGCCCTGTAGTCTTCTTATACTGTAGAAAATGGTACTTTCAGTTTCTGACTTTAAACTTTCTATGTTAAATATTTAAAGAAAAAATTTAGATGGAGATTTAGTCGTAGCTGTCTGTTGCCTACGTTATGGATCTTTCCTGAAGTGGAGGAGGGTTAATAAACCCTTATGTTTATATGGACCTTTGGTGGCTTTTGTTTTTGTATTTTGTTTTGTTTTTGTACCAGGGATTGATCTTGGGACCTTATTCTTGTGAGGCAGGTGCGGTGCCACTGAGCTAAATCCCCAGCCCAGTGGTTTTTTTGTCTCTGAAATCCTTCTAGTAATTCCAGGAACATCTCCTATGACAAGTTGTGGTCTCACGTTTTTCTTTTTAAACTCTGAAAGAGGTCAATACACTGGGAAATGGCGGCCAGTTGGCCTGCGGAGCATTTTCTGTTCACATATACATATTGTCTTCCCCTGAGGGCCAGAAGACGTGGGAAGAGACCCGTGAAGGGTGATGGCTGGGGTGGGGGGAAAGCAGAGGCAGATGGAGGAGACTCACTTTCCCCAGCTCGTAGAAGTTCCGAAGGCTCAGCCTCTGGAAAGAAAGCCGCCCCTCTGGTTGTATCCCCGTCACGCCCTCCAGCAGATCACTGCTAATTTTTCATTAGCATCGTTATGACGTGGGAAACAGCTTTGAACAAATGCTGCAGTTGGTGTTCATCTTCTCCAGTTAGAACCACAGACTTGGAGATGACAACAGGGATCTTTCCCCTTTTTGGGGTGATATGGCAAGTGGGTTTGGGCCCTCTGCTGCCATCGAACACACTCTTCTGATCTCAGCCCCAGCACTTCTTTTCCTTCCAGTTCCTCTTTCCTGGTGGCCCTGTCTGTTCACTCACTGGGATCAGCCCTCACAGCGGGCTGAGTGGCTGGCCCTCTGCTTGGCGTCACCTATGGATGCTGCCTTTTACCCTCCATTGGAAGCAAGCCGAAGCTCAAAGATGAGCTTAGACCCCTGCTGCGGTTGGACGTGTGTTCACCCGCCATCGGGGGCCTGCTTGTTTCAAGGAGGGTTGACTCAAATATTCTTAGGATAGGCATCTGCTCTGGATTGGGACCATGCTAGGTGACAGAAAGACATAGAGAAAATTAAGAGCCAATCACCTTTTGAAGTTCACAACGCATGAGAAAAGCACAATTACTTAAAATATGTGTAGCAGAACAAGCATTGTGTTCCCTGGGGTGTGGAGAGCGAGGTGAGGCTTTCCCACTTTGGTCTCTGGATTGGCTCTTCTCGTAACTTCAGCAATGTGGTCTGTTAAACCGTGTTCGGTCTTGCTCCCACTGTTTATGTGATGTGACTCCCCTTCCACTCAAGAGTAGGAATCCGATCACTTTCCCTCCACAACCTCATCTCCTCCGATTCCCCCTGTAGCTGCACTGGCTTCCTGGTGTTCCTCAAGCACACAAGGCAGTTTTCACTGGCTCGTACCTGTCCTGCAGCATTTTTCCCTCATAAGTCATGTGGCTGTGTCCTTACTTTCATGAGCTCTTTGCCCAAGTGTTACTGTTATCAGTAAGACTTTCTCTGACCATGCATTTAAAACTGAGAAATATCAGGCCACCTCTTCCTACTCAGTCCCTACCCTTCCCTGTCCTGATTCATTGTCTCCTTGCAGTTTTCACCACCTGATTTAATATATATGTATCCATCTGTCAATTTGTCGTCTACCTGCCAATCATCCTCTGTTTATCTAAGTTTCATCTATCAGCTCTGCACCTGTCTGTATCTATTCCCCTACCTGCTCTCTTCTCCCATTAGAATGCAAAGTCTGCAGAGGAAGGGGTCTTTATTTTTTTTCTTTTATGTATGCCTGAAATACTGCCTGGCTTCTACTTTTTGAAGGAAGAAAGACGAGGAAGTGTGCTACATTTGGAGAGAGGCTAGTGATTAGGCTGGGGTGGGGGCAGATTGTAAAGTATCCTGTTTGCTATGCTTTGGAATCTGGACTTCATCGTAAAGGAATAGGGTACCACTGGAAGATTTTAGGTAAAAGCATTGTGGGAACTAATTTTGAATTTGACGATTACTTCAGTAGCATTGTGGAGCCTGGATTGGGAGTGGAGGAATCTGAAAGACCCTGAATGCCTGAGAGTGCTGCATATTTAGGAGCTGTGAGTCTGTACCATCAAGATTGGAAATGTTTAGAAGATACAGATTGAGTGTCTCGAGTCTAAAATGCTCCAAAATCTGAAACTTTTTGAGCACCTATGTTATGCCACAAGTAGAAAATTGCACACCTGACTTGCTGTGACAGGTTGCAGTCAAACATTGGTACCCAAAAAATGCTGTATATAATTACTTTTTGAATATGGGTATAAAGCTAAATGTGAAATACAAATGAATTTCTTGTTTAGACTTGGGTTTTGTTCCTAAGATATTTCATTATGTGTATGCAAATATTCCCAAACCTGAAAAAAAACAAACTGAAAATCAGAAACACTTCTGGTCTCAAACATATTACAAAGGGGTGATCAACGTAGGAATCACACCTGAATGCTGAGTTAGCACGGCAGTGTGTGAGAAAGGGCATGAGGGCAACTGCTGGTACTTACGTTACACACCTTCACAGATGATGGTTTCTGATTCTGTACCAATTTCTGTGTCTTTATAGAGTTAAGGTTCCTCTTAAAGGTGGAACTTGCCTTGGTTATTAATATACTATGTATTATTATACTATATATTAATATACTATGAAATATTGTGCAGACATTTCTTAAAGAGTCATGAAAGATACAATAGATGATGCAGTTATTCGATGTATACTATTTCACCTTTCAGTTTCTACTCTTCACTTTAAGATAATCACTTTGATTTGCATATAGAAGGCTCATGCCCATGTGACCCTTCCATATGCTTCTGAAGTCTCAGTTGGGGTTCTCATTTTCTGTGGCTAACCCCAAGAGTCTTTCCTTTGTATATCATGGCAGTTATCATAAAGCAAAACAAAAGGGGGCCTGATCATTTTGGGGGTTCCTTTGACATCTCCTAGCGTCGCAAGTGTCTAGTTGTAAATTTCCTTAACTTACATGTTTTACTGTCATACTATGATTTACTTTTCATAGAGTGTATTTTCATACATAGATTTAAAAGTGAGATACATATGAGAGGGTGTTGCCAGTGTACTCATTCAAGCGTTTTCTGGTTTATTTTCCCTTGAGCCAGTCTGGAAGTTTTCAGTCATTCATAAGTCAAAGATTTGTGGCTCATCAGGAGATTTGGCTTCTGATACTCTTTGACTACTAATCTTACAATACAGCTACTTTGGTTGCTCCAGTGACCAAATTATGTTAGCCAAGAAGCATTTCTATTATCTATTAGATAATTGACCCAATTAACAATCAGTTCAGTCAGGCACATAGTCTCAAATTTAATCTCTCCTGGCTATTTCCATTTTATTTCTAAACTCATGACCTTGCATTGTAATGAACTCTTACTAGAGTTCTTTATAATAGACCATCTCTTCTTTTTAAGTAATTTTTTTTGGAGGAGGCACTTAAATTTGATTTGTAAACTTAATGAAGAAATAGATGAATAGGCATGTTTTGGATGCCTATAATATATTAGGCTCTATATTAGGCACTTTACAGAGTCTAAATTAGTCCTTGATTGCGGGCTATGTTTAACAGCCCCCCCTCAAAAAAAGAAAACTTAGAAAATCTTGAGAAATGTTTTG